ATGTTCCTGTTCTGCGGCTTCCTCGAGCTTTACGCGGCCAAGCAGGACCCCACGGACCCGCCGGGCAAGCTCAGCGGATCCGAGGCGGGCTTCGGAAAGTCGTACTTCGGGGCCCTCGGCGTGTTCAAGGGGGACGGCATCGAGGACCCTGAGAAGAAGAAGCGGTCCCTGAACGCGGAGCTGGCCAACGGCCGCCTGGCCATGATGGCCATCATCGGGATGTTCTTCCAGGAGTCGAGGGATACGAAGATCTCTCCGCCCACGTCGATTCTTGTTTTGTTCTGCGACTTTTTCTGTCTGTCCCTCTTTCTCTTTCTCCCTTGTGCTCTCTCTCTCTCTCAGGTTTTGCTCTTTCACATTTATCGCATACCTTTCTCTGCCATCCCTCTCTCGATACAGAGTGTATGTACTGATGCCGCATCTTTTCAATCATTTCCCTGCTATGTCGTCTATCTTCCCTCGTAGTTCTCTTTATCTCTATCTCCCTCTCTCTGTTTCTGTCTCTCTCTCTCTCTCTTTCTCCCGCCCATGTTTCTCGTCGGGCTGCCCCCAGACGAGATGGTCAAATGGTGAGCGAAGCATGTCCGGGCTCTCTTGCGCTGCACCCCTCTCCGTCCCAATCGTTGCTGCAGCCTGTGGACAAGCGGACGTCGCACTCGGGGTGCGGGGCTACGCACGTCGCTGCCTGCCCCGCAGGACGGCCTCACGGGCTCCGCCTGGGGCGACTGGGCGACCTACACGGATTCGCCGCTGCGCGCCTTCGAGAGCGAGTTGGGCGTGCAGGCGCCCGTCGGCTACTGGGACCCGCTCGGCCTTGCGAAGGACGGCGATGCGGATGTCTTCTACAGGAGGAGGTGCACCGAGATCAAGCACGGCCGCGTCGCCATGTGGGCCGCCATGGGGTACATCGCGCCAGAGTTCTTCCGGTGGCCAGGAGGTGTTGCCCTCGAGGGGCCTGCCTTTGCGAGCCTTCCGAATGGCCTGAGCGCTCTGGGCAAGGTGTCTGGTGCCGGCTGGGGTCAGATGTTCCTGTTCTGCGGCTTCCTCGAGCTTTACGCGGCCAAGCAGGACCCCACGGACCCGCCGGGCAAGCTCAGCGGATCCGAGGCGGGCTTCGGAAAGTCGTACTTCGGGGCCCTCGGCGTGTTCAAGGGGGACGGCATCGAGGACCCTGAGAAGAAGAAGCGGTCCCTGAACGCGGAGCTGGCCAACGGCCGCCTGGCCATGATGGCCATCATCGGGATGTTCTTCCAGGAGTCGAGGGATACGAAGACCCTTCCGCCAACGTCGATTCTAGTTTTGTTCTGCGACTTTTTCTGTCTGTCTCTATGTCCCTTTTTCTTCTCTTTCTCCCTTGTGCTCTCTCTCAGGTTTTGCTCTTTCACATTTACCGCATAGCTTTCTCTGCCATCCCTCTTTCGATACAGAGTGTATGTACAGATGCCGCATCTTTTCAATCATTTTCCTGCTATGGCGTCTATTTTCCCTCGTGGTTCTCTTTATCTCTCTCTTTCCCTCTCTCTGTTTCTCTCTCGCTTTCTCTCTCTCTCTCTCTCTCGCTCTCTCTCTCTCTCTCTTTCTCCCGCCCATGTTTCTCGTCGGGCTGCCCCCAGACGAGATGGTCAAATGGTGAGCGAAGCATGTCCGGGCTCTCTTGCGCTGCACCCCTCTCCGTCCCAATCGTTGCTGCAGCATGTGGACAAGCGGACGTCGCACTCGGGGTGCGGGGCTACGCACGTCGCTGCCTGCCCCGCAGGACGGCCTCACGGGCTCCGCCTGGGGCGACTGGGCGACCTACACGGATTCGCCGCTGCGCGCCTTCGAGAGCGAGTTGGGCGTGCAGGCGCCCGTCGGCTACTGGGACCCGCTCGGCCTTGCGAAGGACGGCGATGCGGATGTCTTCTACAGGAGGAGGTGCACCGAGATCAAGCACGGCCGCGTCGCCATGTGGGCCGCCATGGGGTACATCGCGCCGGAGTTCTTCCGGTGGCCGGGAGGTGTCGCCCTCGAGGGGCCTGCCTTTGCGAGCCTCCCGAATGGCCTGAGCGCTCTGGGCAAGGTGTCTGGTGCCGGCTGGGGTCAGATGTTCTTGTTCTGCGGCTTCCTCGAGCTTTACGCGGCCAAGCAGGACCCCACGGACCCGCCGGGCAAGCTCAGCGGATCCGAGGCGGGCTTCGGGAAGTCGTATTTCGGGGCCCTCGGCGTGTTCAAGGGGGACGGCATCGAGGACCCTGAGAAGAAGAAGCGGTCCCTGAACGCGGAGCTGGCCAACGGCCGCCTGGCCATGATGGCCATCATCGGGATGTTCTTCCAGGAGTCGAGGGATACGAAGACCCCTCCGCCCACGTCGATTCTTGTTTTGTTCTGCGACTCTTTCTGTCTGTCTCTATGTCCCTTTTTCTTCTCTTTCTCCCTTGTGCTCTCTCTCTGTTTCTCTTTCACATTTATCGCATAGCTTTCTCTGTCATCCCTCTTTCGATACAGAGTGTATGTACAGATGCCGCATCTTTTCAATCATTTCCCTGCTATGTCGTCTATTTTCCCTCGTGGTTCTCTTTATCTCTCTCTTTCCCTCTCTCTGTTTCTCTCTCGATTTCTCTCTCTCTCTCTCTCTCACTCTCTCTCTCTCTCTCTTTCTCCCGCCCATGTTTCTCGTCGGACTGTCCCCCGATGAGATGGCAAAACGGTGAGCGAAGCAGGTTCGGGCTCTCTTGCGCTGCACCCCTCTCCGTCCCAATCGTTGCTGCAGCCTGTGGACAAGCGGACGTCGCACTCGGGGTGCGGGGCTACGCACGTCGCTGCCTGCCCCGCAGGACGGCCTCACGGGCTCCGCCTGGGGCGACTGGGCGACCTACACGGATTCGCCGCTGCGCGCCTTCGAGAGCGAGTTGGGCGTGCAGGCGCCCGTCGGCTACTGGGACCCGCTCGGCCTTGCGAAGGACGGCGATGCGGATGTCTTCTACAGGAGGAGGTGCACCGAGATCAAGCACGGCCGCGTCGCCATGTGGGCCGCCATGGGGTACATCGCGCCGGAGTTCTTCCGGTGGCCGGGAGGTGTCGCCCTCGAGGGGCCTGCCTTTGCGAGCCTCCCGAATGGCCTGAGCGCTCTGGGCAAGGTGTCTGGTGCCGGCTGGGGTCAGATGTTCTTGTTCTGCGGCTTCCTCGAGCTTTACGCGGCCAAGCAGGACCCCACGGACCCTCCGGGCAAGCTCAGCGGATCCGAGGCGGGCTTCGGGAAGTCGTATTTCGGGGCCCTCGGCGTGTTCAAGGGGGACGGCATCGAGGACCCTGAGAAGAAGAAGCGGTCCCTGAACGCGGAGCTGGCCAACGGCCGCCTGGCCATGATGGCCATCATCGGGATGTTCTTCCAGGAGTCGAGGGATACGAAGACCCCTCCGCCCACGTCGATTCTTGTTTTGTTCTGCGACTTTTTCTGTCTGTCTCTATGCCCCTTTTTCTCTCTTTCTCCCTTGTGCTCTCTCTCAGGTTTTGCTCTTTCACATTTATCGCATAGCTTTCTCTGCCATCCCTCTCTCGATACAGAGTATATGTTATAATGCCACGTCTTTTCAAGCATTTCGCTGCTATGTCGTCTATCTTCCCTCGTAGTTCCCTTTATCCGTAAGGGCTTCGCCCCCTGCCGCCGGCCCCCTCTCTCGGAGAATGGGCCATGGAAGAGCTAAGTCATGAGGCTTTGGCGCTGTCGTGCAGCAGTATCGGAACTTCATGCGAGGCCGATTCGCAATCGGCAAAACCAACTGATCACAAGAGGGGTTACCACACAGGGCGATTGGTAAGACGTGTATGGTTTACGAGCTTGGTTACCACACCTTGGGATTAAAGGGCCGAGGGAGTACTCGCAGTTTGGGTTACCACGCCTTGCGATGGATGTGCGTGAGGGGTGGCACCGAATTTCAGAAATGTGGCAAATCCCCTGTGTTTTTGGACCCTGACCCCGCGGATCTGCGTGAGGGGTGGCACCGAATTTCAGAAATGTGGCAAATCCCCTGTGTTTTTGGACCCTGACCCCGCGGATCTGCGTGAGGGGTGGCACCGAATTTCAGAAATGTGGCAAATCCCCTGTGTTTTTGGACCCTGACCCCGCGGATCTGCGTGAGGGGTGGCACCGAATTTCAGAAATGTGGCAAATCCCCTGTGTTTTTGGACCCTGACCCCGCGGATCTGCGTGAGGGGTGGCACCGAATTTCAGAAATGTGGCAAATCCCATGTGTTTTTGGACCCTGACCCCGCGGATCTGCGTGAGGGGTGGCACCGAATTTCAGAAATGTGGCAAATCCCGTGTTTTTGGACCCTGACCCCGCGGATCTGCGTGAGGGGTGGCACCGAATTTCAGAAATGTGGCAAATCCCTGTGTTTTTGGACCCTGACCCCGCGGATCTGCGTGAGGGGTGGCACCGAATTTCAGAAATGTGGCAAATCCCTGTGTTTTTGGACCCTGACCCCGCGGATCTGCGTGAGGGGTGTCGATTTCGAGCCCCCCCAGCAATTCAGACAACGCGCCCAGGGGGTGCTAAAAATCCCGTTTGGGCCTCCCCCCCCCTCGCGCGGTCAATCAACTAGTTACAGTGACCAGCAAGAAGCAGAACTGTAACACTGGAAACTACAAGCTACAACTGGTACTGGAAACTGCGAACCCGTGCCTCGCAGCCTGGTGGCCCCACAAGGGGGCCGGCGGATCTCTCTCTCCCTCTCTCTGTTTCTCTCCCTCTCTCTCTTTCTCACTCTCTCTCTCTTTCTCCCGCCCATGTTTCTCGTCGGACTGCCCCCCGACGTGATGGCCAAACGGTGAGCGAAGCATGTCCGGGCTCTCTTGCGCTGCACCCCTCTCCGTCCCAATCGTTGCTGCAGCCTGTGGACAAGCGGACGTCGCACTCGGGGTGCGGGGCTACGCACGTCGCTGCCTGCCCCGCAGGACGGCCTCACGGGCTCCGCCTGGGGCGACTGGGCGACCTACACGGATTCGCCGCTGCGCGCCTTCGAGAGCGAGTTGGGCGTGCAGGCGCCCGTCGGCTACTGGGACCCTCTCGGCCTTGCGAAGGACGGCGATGCGGATGTCTTCTACAGGAGGAGGTGCACCGAGATCAAGCACGGCCGCGTCGCCATGTGGGCCGCCATGGGGTACATCGCGCCGGAGTTCTTCCGGTGGCCGGGAGGTGTCGCCCTCGAGGGGCCTGCCTTTGCGAGCCTCCCGAATGGCCTGAGCGCTCTGGGCAAGGTGTCTGGTGCCGGCTGGGGTCAGATGTTCTTGTTCTGCGGCTTCCTCGAGCTTTACGCGGCCAAGCAGGACCCCACGGACCCGCCGGGCAAGCTCAGCGGATCCGAGGCGGGCTTCGGAAAGTCGTACTTCGGGGCCCTCGGCGTGTTCAAGGGGGACGGCATCGAGGACCCTGAGAAGAAGAAGCGGTCCCTGAACGCGGAGCTGGCCAACGGCCGCCTGGCCATGATGGCCATCATCGGGATGTTCTTCCAGGAGTCGAGGGATACGAAGACCCCTCTGCCCACGTCTATTCTTGTTTTGTTCTGCGACTCTGTCTGTCTGTCCCTCTTTCTCTCTTTCTTTCTTTCTCCCTTGTGCTCTCTCTCTGTTTCTCTTTCGCATTTATCGCATAGCTTTATCTGTCATCCCTCTCTCGGTACAGAGTGTATGTACTGATGCCGCATCTTTTCAATCATTTCCCTGCTATGTCGTCTATTTTCCCTCGTTGTTCTCTTTATCTCTCTCTCTCTCTCTTTTTCCCTCTCTCTGTTTCTCTCTCGCTTTCTCTCTCTCACTCTTTCTCTCTCTTTTTCTCCTCTTTCTCCCGCCCATGTTTCTCGTCGGACTGCCCCCCGACGAGATGGCCAAACGGTGAGCGAAGCAGGTCTGGGCTCTCTTGCGCTGCACCCCTCTCCGTTCCAATCGTTGCTGCAGCCTGTGGACAAGCGGGCGTCGCACTCGGGGTGCGGGGCTACGCACGTCGCTGCCTGCCCCGCAGGACGGCCTCACGGGCTCCGCCTGGGGCGACTGGGCGACCTACACGGATTCGCCGCTGCGCGCCTTCGAGAGTGAGTTGGGCGTGCAGGCGCCCGTCGGCTACTGGGACCCTCTCGGCCTTGCGAAGGACGGCGATGCGGATGTCTTCTACAGGAGGAGGTGCACCGAGATCAAGCACGGCCGCGTCGCCATGTGGGCCGCCATGGGGTACATCGCGCCAGAGTTCTTCCGGTGGCCGGGAGGTGTCGCCCTCGAGGGGCCTGCCTTTGCGAGCCTTCCGAATGGCCTGAGCGCTCTGGGCAAGGTGTCTGGTGCTGGCTGGGGTCAGATGTTCCTGTTCTGCGGCTTCCTCGAGCTTTACGCGGCCAAGCAGGACCCCACGGACCCGCCGGGCAAGCTCAGCGGATCCGAGGCGGGCTTCGGAAAGTCGTACTTCGGGGCCCTCGGCGTGTTCAAGGGGGACGGCATCGAGGACCCTGAGAAGAAGAAGCGGTCCCTGAACGCGGAGCTGGCCAACGGCCGCCTGGCCATGATGGCCATCATCGGGATGTTCTTCCAGGAGTCGAGGGATACGAAGACCCCTCCGCCCACGTCGATTCTTGTTTTGTTCTGCGACTCTGTCCGTCTGTCCCTCTTTCTCTCTTTCTTTCTTTTTCCCTTGTGCTCTCTCTCTGTTTCTCTTTCGCATTTATCGCGTAGCTTTCTCTGTCAGCCCTCTCTCGGTACACAGTGTATGTACTGATGCCGCATCTTTTCAAGTAGATATGCTCCTTTCCGCCTCATCGTGTAGTTGCCTCACCTGCTGCCTGCCTTGTCATACCTGGACATTATTATTACTTATACTGTATCATGCAGCCTTTTGCTGCTCGAGTGAGAAAAGGAGCGTGCTGCTACGCGCCCGCGTCTGGGCGTCGGCCGGCCGGCCTCCTCCCTTCCTATACTTGAGTGCGTTTGCTTAACGGATAACATATTGTTTCATCGATGTCTCATCCCATACCCTCTACTACTGGGCCTAGTGATCATGAGACCTTTGTTCCTTTGGCATCTTACCCCGATTGTCAGAGGAAATACTGGTTATCAGCCGAAACCCGCGACCGCATCGCCACGGGAATGAGCTATGATGAGACAGCTGTGCCCGCGAGATTGCACGATATGCATCGAGACGGGCAAGACCAACAGGACGGCGGCCCAGGGGAGGGCCGCACTCTTCCCTCTTCTAATCTCATTCGGGTTTCTTATGGAGGGGCCGCGGGAGAAGTTATAGATTTATCTGTAGGTGATTCTCCCACTCGTATTCCGATTAGAGATCGTGAACGGAGAGGCGGAACGGCCCAGCCATGAATGCCAGGCGAAGAGCCTTTTTCATCTTGGGTTGCCGAGTCCTCAAAAACAGTGCATTCCGGCCCGATTGCCATGCGTTCGATTGAGCCGGCTGCTGGCCCAGCCAGTAGGCTGCGAGTCGTAAGGGAGTCCAGCAGTGTGCTCCCCGCCGTCCCAGACGGTTGGGGTCGGCCGCACGGAACTCACCCCATCCCGATAGCCTTGAACGGGCAACCCGGTCAAGACAGCGACGAACAGCTTGATGACGAAGACGATGTCAACTCTATGGAAGCTGACATGGAGCACGCTGAATACCAAATGTCACCAAAACGAATTTTGCCGTTGATGAACGCTGCTGACCGTCCCGTCCCAGACGGAAGGGCATCCCCAGGGCAGGAGACCGTTGATTACGAGCACCTGGAAGCTCTTTGGGAGGCACTTGCGGGGCCAGATCTAGACACCGCGATCAGCGACCTAGACCGCGGACGTCCCAGTGGTACACGAGCCATGGGGAACATCGATACCGTCCCCCATTCTCCCAATCGCTGAGGTACCGCCCCAGGCGGCAGTGGTTGAAATGAGTTCCCAGCTTCATATTAAACATGGCCGGGAGACCACGGGTCGAACGCCAGCTCCTCAACACAAGAAGCACAAGAATGAAGATTATGATTTGAACGCTTCCCCGCTTCAGGAGGGTTTCTACCGGACTGCCCTCGCCCCAGGCGATTGGCAGCCGTCAGTGCCCGCAGTAGTTGAGGATGATGACATGTTTGATCCCCCGGCCTCGCTCCCAGAGTTGATTGCACAGGATGAACGGGATGGGGCGCTTCGAGAGGTGGCCAAGCCACCGGAGAGCACGCGCGTTCGCCCTCGATCGTCCGCTTCGAGCAGGGGGCGGCCTAAGATCCCACGATCTGGCGCCCGATCGACTTCGAGGAGCAACAGTGCCATTTCCATGCGCGAGGCGTGCTGGAATCCAGGCCCTGATTGCCCGCCCCGGGCGGAGAACAGGTGCCCTGGTGAAGCCCGCGAATGGGGGGGGCCTTGTAAGCGACCAGTGTGTGGGTGCTGTTCTGACGTGTGTCCCAATTGTGGCAATCAATGGTTGTGTGAGGACTGCTTCCCGATGGAGGGACATAACTGCCGATGTCTTTTGATCCGAGCCATGCAGGATCAGGCCAGAATCATAGAGGCTAAGAGGCAGCAAAAAGTCATGGCCTTAGAAGCACAGAGGGCCGAACAGGCCCGGTTGGATCGGGAGGGGATGAACGCAGTTATTGCCGAAGCTCAGAAGAGGTTCGAGGCTGATCGGGTCGCCCTGGCCCAAGCTGCCAGTCGGCGAGAACCAGAGTTGATAGCGCACATGTCATTGCAGACCGCGGCTGCCCAGCAGCATGCGGAAGAATCCGAGAACTGGATTATTGAGACATTATCTTCTGAGCGACAGGCCACCCTGGCGACGTGCAGTCAAACTGTAGATGTCAAGGCCGCCTGCGCCGCTGTTGCGGCGGCGAAACTAGAAGGGGAAGGGGCCGCGATAACCGAGGCAGAGCATGAAAGAAAGGAGCTCCAATATCAACTTTGTGCTGCCAGGCTAGAAGCGGCCAGTGCGCTGATTATAGCTGCGACGATGGTTGACCATAATAATCAGTATCGAGAAGAGCTCAAGATGCATGAACATGCTAGGGCATCGCTTCGGCAGATGCAATCAGGTGACGAAGCGCGCCCGCCGGTCAAGCCGGCAGGAGCGAGCGGGCGACCGTCGCCGGCGGCCCAGCCGCATGGTGCCGCGCCGTCGCAGGCCCAGCCTAGCTCGGCGCCCCTAGAAGGCGGGAAGCCGCCAATGTTGCGGGTAAAAGCTGCCCAGCAGCCGCGGCCCGCGAGAGGGGGCACTGACGGAAATTGTTCAACATATTCGAACCCGAAGGTCGGTTCATGCGCCACTTGCGGATCGCCAAGTTGTGCAATCCACTTTGATATGAGCACGAAGCGTTGCGTCGCGTGTGCTCAACGAAAGAGCCTGCCCGTGGAACAGGCGGAGTGGGAAGGGCAATGGGGGCGAAGTAGCGCTGGCCCCAACTTTCGGGCCCAACAGCAGAGGCTCCTTGACGATATTTACGCTGACAAGTGTAACATGCAGAGGATGAAGTGGCAAGCTGAGGAACAGCTTCGATTGAGCTCGGAAAAGTCAGCAGCCAACCTTCGCGAGAAAGAAGCGCCGGCGCGCGCAGCTGCATCGGAGAAAGAGGTGATGGAGCTCAAAGCTGCCATCGCCGCATCCCTGAAAGAGAAAGAACAACATATGCGGTCTCGATCGCAAGCGGCTGACCGAGAGGCGGCCTTGGAAGAAAGGGCAAAGGAGATGGCAAAGACCATGGGTATCGAGTCTTTACAATTTATCGAGGAAGCGTTGGATAACATGCCCAAGTTTCACCAATTCGATATGCCCCAACGTTCGCAGGAAACGCCCGTCAGGCCAGCTTTGCAACCCCATTTCGCTGTCCCTGGTCCTGCCGCCGAAGGTCCGGCCAAGCCAGGCATCTCCGGGAATAATATACCCTTCAATGCCGAGATGTACGGCGCCGTTGACGACATGACCCTTATTTACTATCATCTTTCAGCCGGGCGGGGCCAGCGAAGCCGCTAGCGGCCCTGCCGCCGAGTGGAGGTAAGGGTAGCGCGCCAGCGGCCACGCCGTCCGGCGGTGCAGGACAGAGCAATGATGGGGACGATCATAGCGCCACCACAAGTACTGAATTCTTGTACGCACTTGCCCATGCTGCCCAAGACCGGTCAGGGAAGCCGCCTCGAGGGGGTCCGGGGGGTCCTGGATCCTCAGGCGGTGGAGGTGGTCCCGGCGGACCTCAGGTCCCCGGTGGGCCCAATGGCCCAGGAGGTCTCGACGAGAGCACCCCCCTGGACCAATGGAGACAGGTTGGCAACAATCAAAAGGTTGATCTGTTGGACATTCCCGATGTTACAAACATGCGGGAGTGGCAGATGCATGCCGTCCGTGCTGCGGCTGGATCGTCTCCTAAGATTCAGGAGGCACAGCTCTGGACTATGGAAGCCATGGGCCCCGCTGTGCCCAAATAACATCTTAGAAACCCGGGCCGCTTCCGACGTCTTGACATCATGGTCGCCACTAATCTGATTGAGAAGTTTACGAAAATGCGTAGGAATCGCAACCTTTCAGTTCATCGCAATCACTTCCTTCACCAGATACAGCGCATGGAGTTTGCTGCCCAGAATGAAAAGAGACTTTTGGCAGGGCGCGAAATGATACGGGCCATATGATATTGGTGCTCAGTCAGATCGGACCTTGGTCAGCATCGTATTTCTCGTGATATTTTCAAGGTCGTTATTGATCCTAATCGCCCAGACGCTGATTTGTACCATTTCTATAATGAATGGACAGATGTATATCAACAGCTCTACGGCGCACGACCTCCGTCCGATGAAATGCGAGCTTCTATCCACGCCCATTTTCTTGAGCAGTGCAGGAAGCCGAAGAAGTTGAGCATGATTTGTCAGTTTTATGATCTGTCTTCAGACAAGCCAGGGACGGGCATGCGTACGTACGAATGGCTCATAGCTCAGATTGAAATGACGATGTTGCGTGAGAAAGAGGAGTGGAGCATTGATCTGCATGAGGTTACTTTGAATCAACGTGCTCGTCAGATGCGCTTGGGCGGCGGTGGAGGCAACGGCAACGATAATCGCCGAGGCCTCAACGGCAAAGCCGCTGGGCGGAAGTAGCAGCGCGTCTCGGGGAACACACATATGTTACCAAGAGTGGAGTGGCAAAGGGCGAGACAACGTGCAAATTCATCCGTGAAGGAGAGACCTGCCCGAATGCGGGTCAGGGTTGCCCGTTTAATCATAGGAAGCCCGAAGCCGCCGCTCTGGCCCAGCCGGCTGCGGGGGCTAACCCGAACGCTGCCCCAGCTCAGAACCGACGTTCTCGAGGGGGGTCTGAGAAACCCAAAGGCGGTGGTCGAAAGGAACGGGGCCGATCTCAGACCCCGGCAGGTGGCCGTGGAAAGGGTGCGCAGCAGCGGACTAGGGGCCAATCTGAACGTTCGCACGAAAAGCAGAGCAAGTTGCCATGCTACCCTTTCTCACATGACCCTAAGAACTGCCGTGGGCCGCAGGGCGGTTGCTACAAGCAACGCAGAGCCCTGACCGCAGAAGAAGAGCTCAAGCGTGACAAACATGAAGAGGCTAAGCTCAAAGCTG